TTAGGATACCAAAATGATTGAGTTTCCTTCCCTCATCAGCCTCCACATCTAGTTGGGGAGTGTGAGCAAGGGAATGGAATTCAAGAAAAAAATTTCCATTTTGCTATTTGTATTATTAGGGGGTGGGACAAATATTCTGGGGTTTTTACCTGGAAAGACGTTTTTAGCTTTATTCTCCTATACATCTCCTAATTTCTTATCCCACCTGTCCCTTTCCTTACTAGTCGTAGCTTACAAAAATGCCTTTTCCTAAAAACTCTAATCCCTTTCATAAAGACTGCAAATTGTTGGGATTTAGCCCACAAGTATTTTTTTTTTTTTTTTTACTTACTACATGTAGTATTGATGATTTTTTGTTTGTTTTACATAGTGCTTCTTTAAATAATTTAATCACTTACCGGCATTTAGAATTTAAATATTTTAGATGATTTTCTAGATTTCTAGAATCTTTTGGAAAATTGAAAATTCTGATAACATAGGACCTGCATTCTCACATGGGAGCCAAACGATGGAATTGATCAACTGTGCTTCTCTTCATGCCAGGCATAAGCTGCTTTCATTTCACAGTTTGTTCTATTCACTTATCTCATCTGCCTAACTCCTGTAGGTGACTTTATAGTCCTCTCTCTCTCTCTCTCTCTCTCTCTCTCTCTCTCTCTCTCTCTCTCTCTCTCTCTCCCTCTCTCTTTCAGTTGGGGGTCTCACTCTGTCACGCAGGCTGGGGAGCAGTGGCATGATCATGGCTCACCACAGCCTCAATCTCCTGGGTTCAGGCAATCCTTGCACCTCAGCCTCCTGAGTAGCTGAGACTATAGGTGCACGGCTGGCTAATTTTTTATAGAGATGAGGTCTTGCTGTATTGCCCAGACTGGACTCACTATAATCCTTTCTTTAACCAGAATGCTTTTAGTAAAGTTTAAGGCACACTTTTTAGAGATTGAAGTTAATTTTCATAGAGCTGAGGAAACTTAATGGATATTTTTTGTTAAATGACCTAGTACTGTTGATGTTAGCCAAAGGTGTCAATAATCTGAAGAAAGAGCAAGACTTTAAATATAGTTCGGCTTTTATACCTGTGTTCATTTGCCCATACCTTTTTAGTATGTCTTAATCCTTTTGTCTCTAGGACCGTAACTGCTGTCAATTCATATAATGGTCCTATATAATATAAAATTTGTGGTGAAATTCCACAGATAAGAGTTTAGACACTTCTTATCGCTTAATTGGAAGTCATAAATGATAGGGTTAGAGTGCTGGAAAGATGATAGAGGGGAGCAGAAACAAAGTGGAAGAGAGAATGGTAAATATAATTGCCTGTAAAGTGTCTACCACACGTGCGCCTGTAGTTCTGGCTACTTGGAAGGCTGAGGCGGAAGGACCACCAGAGCCCGGCAGGTCGACTCTGGGGTCGCCGTGAATGTGCCACTGCACTCCAGTCTGGACAACAGAGTGAGACTCCAACTCAAAAAAAAAAAAAAAATGTCTATCACAATTAGTGTCCTTAAAGCACCTTAAGAGTCAATTTTGGAATGAAATAAATCAAGATCTGGAAAGCTAAGTCTCGGACTGTACCACTTAAAGTTGTGAAAGTGCTAGGTATTTGGTTCAACCAAAATCATCTATTTTATGAAACTTCACATCATTGTTGTCATGGTGACTATTAGTTGTTTTCCTCTTCTGGGTAGGGAAACTATATAAGACTCTGGTTTGAGGTGGGAAGCGGGAGTAGAGACAGTGTCCATCTGTCTTCTGCCACAACACATTGGCATTTCTCCCATAAGAAAGTGGTATACTTCGCTGCCCTAACTGGTGTTTTCTGTGACTTTGTTTACATTCTTCTGAGTATCAAGGGGGAAAATGTCTTTTTAAGAGAAAAAAATGAAACCTGAATCCCTGGAGTGGCTTTGAGGGGTTGGAATGTTTTACTCTATGAGTGAAGGTTGAGGTCTTACTCTGTAAAAATGAATTTCTGGCTGCTGCTTTTATACTCAGATAGCAAAGAATCTTGTTACTTTAGTAGATAATTTCAGAATAAGCCATTAAATCATTTTAGCAGCCAGGGGATTTGAGGTCAGCTTATGGAAAACGGACATCATTTCCACTAAGCTATTAAGAGAACCAAGAAAATAATCAAACATCGCCTAATCCAGGAATTCATATCCTGACTTTGTGTGCTGTGGTACCCACAATACCACAGAGCTTCCTAGTGTGTCTTCCTGACACATTTTGTCCCTGAGGCACATGATCACTTGTGCAAATGTCATTATGTCCTAAAACAGTCTGTGGTCCTGATTTTTTCAAATCTTTCCTCCATGGAACTTCAGAAGCCTTCTCTCAAGAGGCAAATGAGCCAAATGCAGTGGCTTATGCCTGTAATCCCAGACACTCAGAAAACTGAGGCAGGAAGATCGCTTGAGGCCAGGAGTTTAAGACCAGTCTAGGCAATATAACAAGACTCCATATCTAACCCCCCCCCAAAAAGCCTGGCATATTAGTATGTGCCTGTAGTCTCAGCTACTTGGGAGGCTAAGGCAGGAAGATCACTTGAATCAAGAATTTGAGGCTGCAGTGAGCTATGATCATACCCCTGCCCCCCAACCTGGGTGACAGAGTGAAAACCCAACCCTTAAAAAGAAGAAGAAGAGGCAGGTGAGCATGATGTACATAGTACATGATGTATATCTACTTTCCCTTATACTTTTTTCTTTATCTGCTTGGGAAGTGGTATCTATCTATAATAAGTACCTTTATTTATTTATATGACTAGTTGTTTTTCTAATTTAGCAGGTGGCAGAAGAGAAACCAGTGAAAAGAGATGTCTTGTTATATGCCTGAGCAAATAATAGATGGGTAGTAGAACTGTGTTTTCAGTGCGGTTTCTGGGTACATTACTGTAGTTCTCAGAAGCCTTGTCTGGGTCCTCTTTGATTTTTGGGAAATACGATGACCCATTCAGCATTTTTGTTGATGGCCTTTAACTAGAGACCTTTTTCTCTTCTTTTATGAGTGCCTGAAAAAAGGAGAGGAAGTAGTAGCTCACAGTGAGTATCTACAGCAGGCACTCTAGACTAGTGGTTCTTAACTTCATTATATATTAGAATCACACACAGATTTAGTTGTTCTGAGGTGAGACCCAAACTTTTTCCTTAAAATTTCCCAAGAGAGTCTAAAGCACAGCCAAGGCTAAGAATTAGTGACGAGCCTGTGGGTCTTCAGAGCCCGTGGAAGTGCCTTAAGACAAAGTCAGTCAATGGGGACAAATAAGGGGGTTCCAGGCCTCCACTCTCCTTGGCTAGTCCTATCCCCTTTCTGCCTAAGCTGTTCACTTTTGTCTATTTTATATACTGGGTTTCTAAAAGGGAAAGAAAGTTTTTTAACCACAGGTCAAGATATAGGTATTATGCAAGAATGGCAAGACAGGTTTTTAATTTGATTTTTTAGGATGGTGAATGTTGAGTCCTTCCACAACAATCTATATGTCATGTAGCCTTTGGGGAAGTAGAAAAAGAAAAGGAAATCTATAGTAATAGATAACAGTACATAGTGAGCTAGTCTTTACTCCAAATGAGAAAAGCCTTGGTCAGTAAAAAAACGTAACTTGCCCAAGCAAAAGTCCCAAACAGGGTTTGCAAGCTGGCTGCCAGAGGATCTGATTAATCACACTGTCTTTGTTTCAGGTCAACATCATTTTTAAAAAATTTAAACTGGCACGGTTTTTGCCCCCAGTCTTCAACACTCCACATTGTGTATATTTGACCCGTTCACTTACTTGCTCATCCTGAAGGCCTGGCCCCTGAAAGCATTTGTGTTTGTAGACCCTAGAAAACAAGTTATTAGCAGTTGCTCTTTGCAGGGCTATGTAATTTGATCATTAAAGACAAACTGTCTGGGCTGGGCACAGTGGCTCACGCTTATAATCCCAGCACTTTGGGAGGCCGAAGTTAGAGGATTGCCTGGGCCCACAGGTTCAAGAACAGCCTGGGCAACTTGACGAGACCTCGTCTCTACAATAAATCAAAAAATTAGTCAGGTATGGTGGCGCGTGCCTATAAACCCAGCTACTTGGAAGGCTGAAGTGGAAGGATTACCTGAGCCCAGCAGGTCAAGGCTGTGGTGGCAAAAAACAAACAAAAACAAAAAAAACTGACGGTACTTGGCTAGTACAAGATGCTGTAACCTCTTGTCTACTTCTCCAGAAAAAAAAATGTTACAGATATTCAGCAACCATTGAAAGAGTTATTATCTTTTACTACTTCTCCTCAAAAAAAAAAACACTATGACTTTTATCTGAGGAATAGTTTGTTTGGTATTAGAACTTCATACAAAGTTTATATAAGATTCTCATTTTAAGTACTATATTAAATCTATTTCCTGAAAACCAGGATGATATACCTGTCTTTGGGAGGCTAGATTTCATTAATTTTTTAATCTAGGTCATATCAAAATAGTTAAAATTGTCTTCTGCTTTATCTTTTATTATTTAAACACTCATTGCCCTCTGTGGTCTCACTAATGGACTAATTTCCTGAGATTATAAATTGGCATGCCTTCATTTCCAGATTGCAGCCTCTCTGTCATCATTTTTCCAATTTTTTGATGTTTGTTTTATGCTGTATTACAAAATGGATTTCCTTATTTCTTCTCTGAATTCATTTGTCCCCTATAATTAACGAATAAACTGTGCATCCAAGGATATTTATCCTAACGGCACTAGTCAAATTTATATATTTTTTAAAGTAACCATGCCTTTAAAAAAAAGTTGGCAAGTCAATTTAGGTTTTTAAAAACAATAACTATAGTCCATTTCCTAAAGCAAATTAGTAGAAAAGTCCATTTTTAAAAATTCTATGGCAGTTCTGTACCACAAAATTACTATTGAAATTATTGCCAATTTTTTGGCTATTATACTCTTTCTTATCATAACTTAAAAGTTGGACCAGAAAAGTATAGAAAGAGCATAATTTTAAAACATACAGCATAACTTTTTTTTCTTTTTGTAGCATTAATCTTATCACTGGTCATTTAGAGGAACCAATGCCAAACCCCATAGATGAAATGACAGAAGAACAAAAAGAATATGAAGCCATGAAACTTGTCAACATGCTTGATAAACTTTCCAGGTATTGTATTCCCATACATTTTTTGCTCGGTTTCTAAAAATGTTCTATTTTCTTGTCTCTCTCACGGAGAGTTACCATAAAACAGCAACTCTGGAAATCCATGTTGATTGGAACAGGGTGGCCCCAGGCAGCAGTAGTTCAGATATCTTTTGGCTACCATGGTTTTTCTACATGTGCCGCTTCTGGATGTGCATTCTTAAACATTTAAACTCGCAAAGCTAAGATAGTCACTACCAGATCTCTGTAATATTTAACCAACTAACCTCCCTGTCTTCAAAAAGATGCTGTGAGTTAGATTCAATGATTTTGCTGCTGCTTGTATTTTTGTTTTAGTCTGCTTTGGTTTTTGTTCCAAATCATGATGCGCCCCTTCCCCATTTTTGATGTGTAAGTTTGCAATTATGCCTTTTTGGGTTGCTGCTGAAACCAAGACTTCTAAAATACCATGTGCCTAATAGGAAAGGTTGAAAAGAAATAGCTCAAATGAAGGATTTTCTGAAAGCACCTGTATTAATTAGGGGTTCTAAAAAACAGTTAACCCCTTCCCCTCTTGCCTCACTTCTCCTTCCCCTCCAAAAAACATCAGTTTTGAAAATAATTAAATCAAGTATATACTAATCAACTGATCATTTTGGAGGAGTCACTAGAAAATAATTCCTTACATACTTGGCTGAATTGCTGTTTTTCAGTCATACATTGAATCACTATCTCCTTTAAGCCATCTTGAATGAATGCTTCTGTGTGTTGGTGGCACCTGCCACTTATAGATGAATTTCTTCTGATCATCTCCTTTTTTCATAATAACCTGGAAAGGCTAGTATCCCTCAGTGAAGAGAAGTAGCAATTAGAATGAGAAAGCCAGAAAGCCAACCGTGAAAGGGAAAGGTGCAGCAAAGAAACAAGTAGAGGTTAAGGGCATAGAAAAGACTTAGGGTAGAATTGGACAAGAGCAAGAGGCTAACATGGGTAGTGTGACAAGTATGGGTATTTAGACACTCTGTGGAGTATGAGCTTTTTTCAAATGATGCTGATAATGTGATAGAAGTTGTTTAGAAGTAGCTTTATTATCTACAATACTACTAAGACTAGAACTCAGTAACTTCCAGCTAGCCCTTTTAAATTCTCATACTTTCCCAAGAAGATTAGAATTTACAACTAATTGACTGTGCTCAAAAGATATTGCTGTCTGTTTGTAAATTACATTCTCCTTACCTTTATAGAGAACAGACATGTTCCATCCAGAAGTAATTAACAGTCACAGAGGAGATACTGATAAGGCAAACCTATAGGAGGCAGAATTACAAATTCTAAATGAATATATAAAAATAAGGTAATGTGTTTGACTACTTTCAGAAGGATCTGATGTAGTTAATGATACAGTGATATAAATACAACAGGATGAGAACCAACAGTTCATCTGTGGAAGCTGGAGGGGAAAGTGTTAGCAAGGACCTGAGTAGATCATATTAGTGTATTAGGACAGTAAACCTGTTAAGTTGCATATATTTCATATTCTGAGCAACAGTATACGTTTTTAAAGGTTAACACAGATGCTATTTAACTGACCCATCTATCCTGGCTGAGTAAATTCCAAGCTAGGGAAATGGAAGATGGGGGAAAGAACTGCCTAAGACAATGCAATATAATCTGAGTACTTGGCTTGCTGATAGAAGCATTGCCATTTCATTAGGCATCCCTACAACAGGCACAGAAAACAAAGATGCTAGGTCCTTCTCCTTTTAATCTCAGGGGAATCCACATATTTTAGAAGCTGCCAATAAATAAATACATAGACCTCAAGTCTGAAATCGCCAGGCTTCCACTTGATTTAAACTATGCCTCAGAGAAGATATATACTTACCAGGAAACACCCAGCAGATGCCCAACTGAGGGTGATGCTGATTTTTGCATGTATAAAGCAGAACAAATATGTCTTGTGTTGGCTTTGATGGTACCAATTTTGCCATTAAAGTTGAAGCAAAAGGCAACCTTGAGATTAGTTCTAAATCATATAGACTTTTGTGGGTGTTTTACATTGTCTGCCTTTGTGTGCTTTCTAACATTTGCTCTCACTGGTAACACTGGTGACAGAACTGTATAAAGATCAGCAGTGGGCATTCCAAAGCAGGAATGCAAAGAATGAAGCCATTCTTTATGTGTCTTATATGTCTGTTGTGCTGTATTCCTCATTAGTCTTAGGTTTCTTCTCTCTTCACTTTTTTTTTTTTGAGGTAAAAAAGATGTCATCAAGCCAAAATAGTCTAAACTCTGAAATGTAATTCAGGAAACATTTGCTAAGTAGCTACTCTGTGCAAGGCACTGTGCTAGGAAACTGAGGGAGATTCAGAGGTGAATATGACAGTCTCTGCCTTTGGAAAACTTCCATTCTAGCAGAGGAAATGGCTGTAATCTATTCTGGAATGCAAGGTAGAGGAAAATAATGACAAGATGAGGTCGCTGAACTGTAAGCACCAGGAAAAGGAGCAGTTCATTCTGTCTAGATGATTCAGAGAATATTTCACAGGGAAGGTAGTAGCATTTGTGCTGATCCTAGAATGCTGAGGTATATAATAAAAATATGGGAAAATAACCGTTCATCCCAGGTGGAGGAAAATTTAATCTTGTTAATAGGAGAAATCTTTGGTATTCACATACTGTATCTTTCTTCCAAAAAGCTCAGGTTGTTTTATCATTATTTGATTAATATAATATTTTATCAGATTTATCACTGGGGGAAGCAAGTACCAAAGAACTGCCCAAAACATTTCCAAGCTAATGACTGATGATAATTCATTTCCTTTTAACAGTTTACAAAACACTTCCACATATATTCTTTCTAGCTTCCTAATAAAGAGACTAGGACTTCATTTCCAGAACTCAAGACCTTTGCTCTGTTCACTGTGCTACTTGTTTGTCTGTTATAGTAAGTGTTTGCCAGAACACTTCCTAATCATCCTCTCAGCATTGTACTGAGGTTAGTTCCCTCAACTGTCACTCTAGGATGTTCTGCATTCAAACAAGTCTTTATTGTGCTAAGAGTGTACTACAGTTCTGTCTAATTAACTTTCCTTCTCATAAATGAAATCATTTTCTCCTGTACCTGAATTAAAAGGCATGTGAGTAAAGGATAGGGTTGGAGGTGATGTGGCCAATGAATGGACACTAGACACTTCCTTTTTTCCATCCATAGGAGAGCAGATGTGAAGGACCTGCACCAGGATGGTGGTTAGCAACAGTGGCCCGTACCAAAGCACTTACCAAAGTGATGACTAAGGTTGGTCATGCCAAGTACTGTTACTGAGCCTGGTGTAGGGCATAGATATTATTCACTTCCAAAATTGTAAAACCACCAATATAGAAGTTAAAATTACAATTCTGTTTTGCCTCTATGCTGGATATAGCCACTGTCAAGGAGCTTACCACCTTCGCAGCATTCTGTCAGCTAGATTTCAAAGGATACTAGAGAGCTTAGTGCTCAAATATTTTCTTTCCATTGACTACCAACTGACTTAAGAGTATTACAAGTTATTTTTTATCTTTTTAGCATAAATATTATATTTGTGACAGATGTAGATAAGGGGATTGGCAGTGTAGCTAGAGGTCTTAAGAGTTTGAAAATAATCTGAACCCTACAAATCCCATCATGTCTAGCTAGTACAGTGCCTTGTATCCTGTGGTTTCCACAGTGTGTGATGATGGAATAATGAAAATAGCTGATCCCCAAATTGAAGGTTAGGTTTTTGCTCTATAAAATAACCTATATGGCTTAAGACTTTAAAGCATACTTTGTCAGTACCATCTCCTGGCCAGACATCATAAAATACAGGACTGAAAAGAAATTCCATGAAGTACTTTGGACCATGGCCAGCTAATTTAAATATGTAAATATTGGGGTACATAATTCCTTTCATATAGAATGATAATTGTAATGTTTATCAAGCGTTAGCATTAAGGCCTGAGGTATGAGATTATGGAACGCTTCATTTGACATTTTTAATGTGAGAGCAGAAGTGGAAAAGGGGATGAAATTTGCCTGTCTCTTCACCTCCTCTTTCCTTCTCTGACTTAGAAAAAAAATAAGCCCCTGCAACTCAAGCAGGAGATTAGAATGGGGATTGTGTGTGGTTAAGCTAGTCCAGTGTGGCTAATACAATTGCATTTGCCTTAGCTACAGCACACAACTTGGATATAATAATGGTGTCTCCTCCACAAAAGGGGAGAGAGCATTGATTGGCTTAGGCCTAAAATGACCAAGGGAAATAATATTTCAAGTTACAGTTTTGTTTTGACTTCTTTAATCCCCTTTAGTTTCTAAACTGGAATTAGAATTGATTGATTCTTTACCCTGACCCCATCACTGTTTAACAAGGTTCATTGCCTTTTTGCTTACATATATATTCTACCACCAAAATCTATGTTTTATCATTTATATTTATAAAATAAAAAATGTTCTACCATTTCTTCCTTTACTCATCCATTCCTTAGCCAGTAATTTTTTTTTTTGACAGCCATTGTGTACTATTTGGAACATGGCTTTCTTAATAAATGCAGACATCAAATATAGGAAAGTTTCCTTTAATCAAGATTAATTTTAAACCTGTTAAGGCTGAGACAGATGATTTATAAACTTGTTAAGGCTGAGGCAGATGATTTATAACTGAAAAGTAACAAATACATAACTTCTCCTTATAAATAAGTTATTCCACTCTCCTTATAAAAATATCAACAACCATGATTACACCTACCTTTGTGATGAGTTAGTCAAGGAAATGGTTTTCAGATACATGTAAAAAATATGATCCAGTTTTTAAAACACTGTAAGATCTATTATGGATATGAAAGTGTAAAGGTTTTGTTTTCATCAGAAAATCCCTTATATCTGCCCTGTCCAATGTGGTAACCACTAACCATATAAGACTAAATGTGGTTAATCCAAATTGGATGTCCTCTAAGTGTAAAATACGAGATTTAAAAGACTTAATATAAAAAATAATGTAAAATATCTCAATAATTGTTTAATATGGATTGCATGTTGAAATGATAATTTTTTATATAATGGGTCAAGTGAAATATATTATTAAAATTAATCTTACCTATTCTTTTTCAATGTGGCTATGAGAAAACTTAAGATTGCATTTATATGGCTCACATTGTAACTTACATTATATTTCTGTTAGACAATACTGTTCTGTATCATTAAAACATACTGTAAGGTTGCTTGGAAATTCAATTAAGGGAACTTAAATCCAGTTAAGGTAATATACCCTTAAAGTAGAAAAGGAGGATTAATTTGAAAAGCTCGATCGTAGGTATCCTTAGGTTATAGAGGACCCTTCCGGTGGCTAGACACCCTGGAGTAGGATATCACGCTACCTTTGTATTGCCTGTTGGTAGTCACTGTCCTTTAGATCTGTAGTTGGAATGACTACGTTGAGCTCTGGGTTAAAGCACTAGCTGAAATGGCCTTTCACTATTAGAGAAACATCAAATAAGAATAATCTTCAGGCAATTCCTTCAGGTCCCCTTCCACTGAGGGAGGCTTTCTATCCCCTCTCAATAAATCCTGCTTTCTCATTAAAAAAAAAAAAAAAAATTCTTCACTGGCTGTTTTGGCTGTTTGTTCCCTTAATAACCCTCTTTCTTTAATTTTTAAGTCTATCTAATCGGGAGCATTAAGAACTTCTGTTTCTACTACTTTATTCAACAGTGTCAGTTGACCTGCTGACTTCTTATTAATATTTGTTTAGTTAATTGTACAACAGGGTAGAAAAGTTCTATAAATAAATTACCAAGCAATAATAAAGAACACTGTCACTTAAGCATAAAACTGAATTGTATTCTTCCAGTACTCTCCCTAACTTCTTTCTCTATATTTTTCAACCATGCTGTTTAATGTGAGGTGGATAGCAATTTTTAGAAGCTTTGCATGCGATCTGCTAACAAAATGAGAACAATAATAAAAGACTAATATAATGCTTAAAAGTTGTAAAGGTGCTTCCATATATGTTATCTACAGGGTAAGAGGTATTTTATTAAGGAGTAAATACACCAAAGATTAAGTAACTCACCTAGGATCAGGCATCTAGTTACTGATAACCACCAGGACCCAGTTCTCTGTTTGGAGACTCTAGATTGTATACTATTGTGAAAAATGACCAATAGCTCTTAAAAATTGTCAGTCTGATGATTTTTAAATAAGACATGGTAAATTTTAAATAAATGAAAAGCACAAAATACAGATAGTACGCATATTTACCTTAGAAGAGAACTAAGATATGGAGGACATGCATCCCTACTTTTCATTCCATAGTTGAGCTTGTCTCAAATATCAGGTCAAGTGCTAAATAAATACCTTTTTTTTTAAAAACAAAAAACAAAAACAGCTTTATAAGGGAAACCAGTAAAATTTCTGTGATTCTTCATTAATACAAGAATTGTTAAAATTGTTTTAAATTGTTAAAAGAACATGAAATTCTAACATTATTTTACATGTGATCTGATCACATTAATAAACCCTATCTCTAAAAAGGCTTCCCTGTTGGACTATTTAGACAATTCCCAGTTACCTTTACAAAGTAGAAAGACACAGCGATGTGGACCATACACCATATGCATTTGTCTTGGGAAAGATATTTATATGTTGCATATTTTACTTCCCAAATCCCAAGGCACAATGATGAAGGCTGAGGGAAGGATCTCAGAATTGTCTTTGCAGGATGCAGCCTGAAGATCTCAAATTTGATATGGGAAAGCCACCACACCCCTCCTTCTTACTGGGTTAGTAACTTATTGAAAGATCAGCTCCTAGGAAGTCATTAGAGGAAAGATAGAATCAAAGATGAAGGATCAGGGTCGAAGTCCTAAGGACATTTTCACAGTATCTAACTAAAGCTTATAGTATTATTTATGTAAGGAAAGGGAGGTTAAAACCATTTATAAGAATATCACAAGTTATTGGGAAATCCATTGCACCTCAGTGGATTATGCACTATTCCAGTGATGCTGAAACCTTGACATAAGGTGTGCTACAGACTTGAACTTATAGGAAAAACTACCAAGCTTCTTTCTCAGGGCTAACACAGGCTCCATTCTAACAGGCATTTTTTCAAAAACTGTATGTTAATTAAAATGCTTTATTTATATACCAATTTCTCATCCCACCTTTCAAATGTGAAAAGGAATTAGATATGAAATGGCTCATGTTAAACGCCAGGGTTCTTTTTTCCAAGCCAACCTTACATTAAGAACAGAAATCCCTGTGCCAAAGAAATGGTTCCCAATTATCCTGTCTTAGGTTTTGTTATACATTGTACAGAAGTCAACAAAACAAGTATGTAACAGAACCTGCCTAAATAGCAGCCACCCTCATTAAAAACAGAGAATTAATCAGGGGATGATTGAAGGAAGCAATGCCTCATAGATTCCCCCCGCCTTTCTTCTTTTCTAATCATAGAACAAAATATGTTACATAAAAGGATCGGAACTATTATGCAGTACTCAATTAGAGGGAGGTGAATAGGTCTCTAACATGCTGTTTTATCAAAAGAGCAGACTGGTGTTTGCATGACTGTTGTTTCATTACAGACCCTGTCATTAATTCCATGTGTCAATACTGCCCTGTAGTACACAGAGCAGACAAGAAAGAAGAGCCCTTGAAAACAAGGGAATGATTTTTGAGTCGTTATCAAGCTAAGTGGCAAGCGGGAAGCTGAAACTCGTATAGGTAAATTCGAAGGGACTCTTGGGAGATCTGCAAGTGGGAAACAAGAATGCATTTTACCAACTGCTTAATTATGTCCTGTTTTTCAACAAGTACACTTGAATTGAATGCTTTGTTTGTATTGCACAAAAACATGTGCTGTGGGCAAGAGTATTCTCTTGCTTCTAGGTCAAATAAGGTGTTTCATACACATATACAACTGACCTATTCTATAATGTGCAATTGGGTATTTTAGTATCTGAACCCCAATATTGCACTATCATTTCTGGGGAAAAGAGTCACATAGGAACCAGAGGCCCTAAAAAGTGGAACCTTCTCTAAAGTTCTGAGAAGCCACATAATCCTAGGAATCCCAGATTATCATACTAGGAATCCCAGATTACCAGGAAAATGTTAAAAATATACCTGAAAAAAACAGAAAATTTTAAATATGGGGTAAGTCCCATAATCTCCCACCCCTAGATCTTTAAGAAAGTATTTTTTGGTTTCTATTAGCAGTCCCAAGGGTTAGGCTGGGGCAAAATAGGGTTTTCTTTCTTGGACGTACCTTATCT